ATAAAAATGTTTTTTTAACATCTTTGTAAAACTAATATGAGAGTTTATGTAGTTTTACAAAGATGTAAATCTACATATTAGTAGTTTTACATATTCAATGAGACAGTACTGACTGTACTGTCAGTTAATGAGACAACAATGACAGTAAATCTGTAAAAAAAGTAAAATAAATTGAGCTCCTCTGTCTCCTTCTACTGAGATCTACAGAAGTGCATCGTTCTGGATAGAAACAACCAATCAGATCTGGTAGGGAAGAATCAGCACTGTAAATCATGCTTGTGTATGTGCTGCAGCTCTGCTAATGGTGGCAGAACAACTTATCGTTACAGGAAAACTGGTAATCTGTCCTCATTTTTCACTATACTTTGCATTTACAGGAGGCTCCGCTGTGAGGAAGGAGGTGTAGCGTAAAAGAGAGGCTGTGAGCAACATGAGGAAATCGCATTTTTATACCACGACACATTCCAAATCCACTTGTTTTACATGTGGATTTTTTTATGTGACAAATATCAACTCGTATGTGATTTTCACATGTGAAGCTAATGTTTTTTTTTTGTTTTTTTTTTGTTTTTTTTTTCCCATTTTATTGAATTTAGAAACATTTGCGACATTCAAATATGGACTGAAAAAATGTGTTTCATACGTCTCTGTGGTCAGTTACACACAACAAGCTTAACAGAGGCCTAAGGTCTGGAGCGGTCTTAAGAGGGATCGTCTCATTCCTCTGTGTGAATTTTGGAAAAATACACTGAATGTGTGTGAAAACATGGATATGCCACCTTTTGCCATCGTACATCAACCATGACAGCTGCAAAAAAAAATTTAAAAAAATTACGTAGCCTGTTTTGAGAGCTTCTCTTCCATCAGTGCGGAGCAAGCAGGGCAGACAGCTCTCTGCTTTTATGTGTTCTTAGAATGTCAACACTACAAACCCCCTCTTGTGTCGAGTTTTGACTGAATGTCATCAGATGAGCTTCCTCAATCCCTTTAAGGAAGATCAATATGACAGATGCGTCTCTGTCAGAGCAGGGGATATTGAATTGTGCAGGTGAACAGTACAGTGGGATCACGTTCATGGGAAAGAAAAAGCACAAGTGACAAAGTAAGAGGACAGTAATCGCACCCGAGTGCTTAAAAGCTAGTCACATAGATGGATGTAAAAGTACACCACACATCAAAATAGCATGATAAAGCAGAGGTTCTGTGAGCTATGTCTCTATTAACAACAGGGAACAAATTGCAGACTGCCGGCAAGGAAAATTACAGCCTCCGTCTCACGCCTGCATTACCAGGAGCATTGTTTTCTGAATAAACACGACGCAAACTTTACCAAGGTTTTTAAAACACCAACTCAATTTGCAAATCCTTTCCACAACAGGAGGAAGATATGTTGCAAGGATTGACATATATGAGTGGAACATGTCGTCGTGCTATTTAAAGCAAGCTCCACACCAACACCCAGTGGTGAGAAGTCCAGCTAAAAGCCACTATCATGGCAAATCAGTCAGTCCAGGAGGGAGAACGGAGGACGCAGCCGAGCGAGAACCGAGTGCAACAAAACATAACCTCGATGGCACAATGGAGTAAATCCCAGATCATTGTGGGGCGTGAAGCGTCTTCTTTTGCTTCCCTCGGCACAGCGGCACAAGTCACACCTGCTTGGAAGGTTGATTTTGAATCTGACACGCGCTGCACTCAAACAACTTGTTGTTTCTGGGGACATTACCCAGTTCGTTGCAACACTGCAAACGTAAGTTGAGTCAGATTTTGGATTTGCTTGTTCAAATAACGTTTTGCATCCAACTTGTAGCATGAGTGTTTAGGAGAGTGACGAGTTCTGTCATGTTACAACCACAGCGTTCTGCGTTTTAATGTGTTTTAACAGCAGAGTCTTCTGAAGAATGCCTTTTTTGAGAGAATTTTTAATTATTTTATTAATCTTTTTTTTTAACCTGTGGTCTTGCAATTTTGCAATTTAGTTTTGCAATTTTGGCCCATTCCAACTGACAGAACTGGTATAGCAATTGACCTCAGGTCTGCCCACTAAGACGAAACTGAGAGGAGGGCTTTTAGTTGGCCGAAAATATGGATTGTGTCTTTTTTTTTTATAACTTATGTCTTCTTATTTGATTATGTATCTGATTTTATCTGCTTGTGCTTTCCTGCAATCAATTTTTATAATGATGTCATCAGCTTATCATCATATTAGGCATTTCACTTGACAGATTTTTATTAAATCTTCAACATGTCCAGATTGCTATTTGAACAGATCTCCTGCTGTCCCCTGACCAAGCTGATCTTCAACATGTTGGACAGCCAGTCGGACGTCCTGTTTACCTCAGCAGACATTCAGGGGGCAAATGGGAGTTGCTTTAAGGAGACTTGACGGAAGTTGAGGGGAACCACCTCCATCACTATTTCCCAGGAGCGCCGCAGCTTTTAGCTGGACATCTTACACTACTGCTTTGTAAGACGTCCGATACACTTCTGCGCTCCATTACTGAACTTTGAATGCTAAAATATACACAACGTGGCCTCTGGTGAGTTGGTTAAGCTTTTAGCTTCAAACCAACTATGTCTGATCCTAATATTGGTGCTTATCTACTTTAAAGGGAAGGGATGACTTTAAGAAACAACCTCATGACCGCGCTGAAAGTTTAAACCTCTAGAGTTGCACTTTCTGAAAATTTCTGCACTACTCCTCCGGCTTGTCTGTCACATCCTCGTCAGCCTTCACTGACGCGATCCAGTTATTCCGCTGAAGTCTTAGGAAATCCAGGTTTGTCAGCAATGCTGTGCCAGCAGGTCTGCAGGATATTCAAACGATGCAATGCTGCGGCGAACAAAAGCTTGAAGGGTCAGTAGATGCCTCTGCTCCATTAACTGTGTGAATTTCCAGAGTCTCCACATAGATGAAAAATAACAACAAAAGCAATTAAGCACAACTTAGTGCAGAATCATGTCACTGGATTTAACTCGCTATTAACCCATAAAGAGTCTAAAAATGATAAATGCAACACATCTTAGGAAAATGTTTTAACCTCACAAAATACTGATGTACTTTTAATTCACACTGTATTAAGGCATGAAGTACTTTTCTATCCATCACTTTGACTCATTTGCACCGTTTTTGTATTTGTATTTTGTGACAGCAGCTTCTGTGTTTCTTGTCCTTTCAGCTCCTAGCTAGTCGAGGTAGACAGACAGCCGGTACTGAGTCGGGTTCCTCTGCAGGTTTCTTCCTGTTAAATTTGGATGGTTCCTCTCCACAGTCACCACATGCATACTTAGCCGAGTGATTACCAAGGCCGCTACCATGAGGCTGTCCATGACTGTTGAATTTTTCATTTATTCCTCATGGTGGAAAAATATCCCCTTCGGTTATGCATTTGGAAGAATAAAAAAAAAAAAAAAGACCTTCTGCTGCTTTTAAATGAATACATATTGTGGCTATAATTTAAAAGATATTCCCTCACAGTTAATTGTTAGTTGACAGAACACAAGTCACCGAGGTCAATTTTAGTCAGTTTGGCCGTCTGAAATGAACATGAAAAAACAAAAATGGAATGTGACTGTGAGGTCCAATGTGTACAACTCTGCTTTCATTTAAAGTATGTACAAACGTTCATTTGAAAGAAAGTTTTTCTTCTTTTGCTCTGCAGAGATATTCTAATATCAGTAAGTTTGAATATATTAAAACCGAAGGGGGAGAGAAAAAAAAATAAAACATAAAAGCTTTTTGAAGAAATAACCCCAAACCCAGGTAGGAGTGAGATAATATGAACATCATGTTTTCATAATCAAATTCCCCCCTGCTGTTTGAGTTTCTGCTCATGCACACGTTCACAGCTAGCTGTTAAAGCCTTAGAACCAGATTTAATGTTGTAAATGCATCAAATGCCCCCCACCGAGCATAATCTTTGTTATATTTTGAATTTCATACCTTCTCGGATATACTCGGTTACCGTTCGTACATTGAAAGAAGTCTTCAATATTCAGGTACAGAATAATTCCAAATGTTGCTCTTGCAATATCCATAGGGGTTGTTGACAAACATGAAAGGGAGCCGCATGTTTTTTATTTTCCTCAGGAAACTCCATTCCTGTCCCACAGTGAAGAGCTGAGAAAAGCATCAAAGAAAGTGGGCAAAGGGAAATTGGTTATAATGTTGCATTACACTGAGGTAAAATGGTTCATCGTGACTTAGAGAGCAATCAGGGCAGGATAAAATTTGGAGAATGTCGAATCTTTTGGCTTAAACCAAGACAAATCTGATCCCCTTGTAGATTTTGCACCTCTAAACAATTTTGATCTTTTCAGTGTATTGTGTTTTTCCTGCTTTTATTATTAGCTGTGGTTTCAAATATGTTTTTGTACCTGTAGTTTTAAACAGGCTTGCAAATTACTCTATAGACCACATGTGTCAAACTCGAGGCCCGCGGGCCACATGTGGCCGTTATCCGTTATCTTGACCGACAACATANGGTGCAGCCTCCACCTTCTTCCTGCCACACATAGAAACACTTTGTTTGTGAACTTTTGCATTTAATGTAAACCTGAACAGAACAGAAAGAAATCAATATTTTGCATTGTTCTGAATCATGAATACTGCAATAATTTCCTGTCTTCTTATTATTAGATCATCTCTAAATTCATTATTCTTACATATTAACTCATTATATTAATCTGGCTTTTTAATCATATCTGTAAATTTCTAATTAATAAATAATTAAAATTTGTTAATGTAGAGGGAAACTAAAAGTTTTCTTCTACTTTCAGTTTTATTTGCAGTGAGCTTTCCTTGGAGTAAAATGTTGTGAGTGATCTCCACTACAACACCAGTGAGAGAAGCGTCAGTGCAGACAGAGGCGTTCATGCCCATATGGTTTTGTGATGTTCTGTGTGTGAGCTGCATAAACTCTAGAGGGGTGAACGAAGCATTTCGAAGGGAGAGTTTGGAGACTCCTTTTTAATCTGATTCTTAAATACCCCCTCACTCCATCTAATTTGCCACACAAATAGTTACAAGGTGTTTGATAAGATTGTCCAAAAGAGCTCACAAAACCTGCAGTACACTTCTGACATTGACATTTTATCTGCTTTTTGCAGCTTTTTCCCCCCACTCTATTTTCAGACGTCTTGCTTCTTTTGTGTGGATCATTCTTTCAAATGTAGAACTTTTGTACAAATTTTCTAAATGCCAGGTCATGGCGAAAAATATTTAATCTCTGATATGCATAATTAAGTTTTTCTTGGAATTCTGGGAAAATATCAAACCAAAGAAACAAACTATTGTTGCAGCTTTGTCATCAGGAGAAGCCGAGAGTAGAGCAACTGCTCCTCGACAAGCAAATGAGTCAGTAGATTCTCCTCATTGCTGTGTAATAGTAGAATTACTGTAGGTATAATTACCTATTATTAAGTGAGAAGTGTACTTGTTAATAAAGTCAATAAATTTAATCAAAATTTACAGGGCAACAACTGATTTCCAAGGACTAATTGCCAAACAGTTCCCTGTCAGGTTTTGTTTTCTGAACACCTGTTTGTTGAGGTGTGAGATAAACGGTTTCTTGTAATGATAAGTTGTTTCTGCACCATTAGCACATGTAGCAGTGAGTGAATGAGGCTAATTGAGTGTCCTACTAGTTCTGATTGGTTGTTTTGGTCAGAACAGTGCATTACTTTAACCAGTAATAGTAATTCAGGAAGGAGATGGAGGAGATTGATTATTTTCACAGATTATCTGTCTCATAACAAACTGCTATGACATCATGAGACCTTTAACAAATATGGAGAAAACATATTTTTTATTAAAGTTAAAGCTTGAATAAAATGCAACTACATAGCATTTTTGAGAAGTCTGGATTGCTTCATGTACATTTTGCACATTGCTTTTGGCTGTTGCTCATGGGGAGAGGCATTTCAGTAATCTAATAGAAAAAATGTAAGCAACCTACTTGCATACTGGATGTGAACTGTTGGATGTTAAATTAATGAGCAGTAAATATTGTGCTAGTATCAGTATTGAACCAAAGAAAGCAAGGCAGATGCAAGCCTTTAAAATTGTGATGCTTTTTATGGGTCAAATAGACTCAAAAAATT